AGACTGCGGATTCCCGTCGCGGAGAAAGGTCCATACTTGAGATTCCTCGAGAATACCGCGGTACTCATTTATCTCCGACCACTCGAAGAAATTATAATCGCGATCCCATTGAGACTTTCTAAAATCGGAGCACCTCGGTAAGTATAAAGTTAAGATCGAAGATTAACCATGGAGGTTTCGGTTCGCGTGATCCAAGTCGACCATCTTGAGTTAGCGATGGCTGAGACTATTCATACTGGGTGTCGCAGTAAATTTGCCTGTTTGCAATACGACTTGGGTCATGCGGTAAGTAAACTGAGGACGCATACGCACTCGGTTGAGCAAGTTGAGGAGCTCCTCTTAATGGGTACGCGTCATTATTTCCGAGCAGTTGACGTATCCTGTCACGCAGGCTGTACAAGTGCACGTCTAGGATGCACTTAGCTAACAATTGTGCGGCCGCGACGTGATTGGAAGCGACGATTGCGCCGAAGGAAATCACCTCTTGCGTCGCGACGCGAAATTACGATGATTTCGAAAATCCGGACCTCGTCTGCCGAGATGCCGGCACCAGTTCGCGTAACGTCGGACACGAAATGGCACGATGACCCTGAATCGGCTCGAAATTGTCCCGCAACATTTTCAATCTTCATTTCTTAAAGTCTTACAAATTCGACAATAAAGAAGACGCTCGACCGACGGGCACAAATATACAAAAATAAAGAATATATATGCCCATAATTATGAAAGTGGCCTAAGTCAAAATTAAAAAAAAAATGAGTTTATCAGTTATTTCACGCCATATTATTTCAAACGAAATTAATTCAATGTAATTTCGAAACAAAAAATATATGACTTAGACCACTTTCATAATTATGGGCACATATCATTAACTGAAGTAATTAAATTAAAAAAAAAAATAATAATAAATCTCGAGATCATGTTAATGTCGCAGGATTTCTTAACCGGCCTGATGTTTCCAATTTACTTAAATCGATTACCTCATTCATGAGTACATTTAATACCGTAAATTACCATACGATGAGGGTATGAAACACGTTTCAATTTTTGTTTTTTTTTTTCGCTCAATTGGAGGCACATTATCATGTTAAAGAGTACTCGCTCGAGTCCGTAGGTACAAGACTTTGTTGCAAGACAATTACAGGTTCGCCTTCTAGAGGCCTATTCACGATAGCACATCTAAGTGTGCCAAGCAGAGAGTAGCCACGGATCGTTCGAACCCTATCGTCACGAATTCTCGTACACGGTGCGAATAAAAAGCCGTACGTCCCATATCGCCGAGCCATTATCCCAGTAATGGCACGTCAAAGTGAGGTACGCACGCGTGAATAGGACTTTCGTGAAGCGCTCTCCATAGTTCATAATCGGCCTAGCATTTCGCCCGGAGGTGTCTCCGCCGTAAAGAGTCTTATACACGAACGAAATCCATAGGACGTCACTGGAGAGGCGACCTTCATTTTCGGAGAAAGAAATTCCGAATCCGGAGATGACGCGACGAGCGATCGACGGATCGAATCCTTTTACCGGGAGATCCATCGAGCCCGGCTAAATAGCACCACCAGTCGGCATTATGTAAATCAATTTGCAGCGAATGGTCATCAGCGCAGCTTTTAATGAGAACGTAAACCCTCTTGAAACGGACGTTAGCGTACGTATACTCCACCATAGCGGCCTCGGCAGTGAAACGGTCGGAGTATTGACCATAAAGGACGTTAAAAAAAAAATCCCGAAACGAGGCACTTCATGCGCCGGGAAATATTCCACGCAAGTCGATTACGCAGCCCACGGGAACGCGCGTATCTCCCCAGAGTGGGTACTTTTATCGGGAATAGATACCCGTGATCGGTAAATAACGTTTCAATCGCCTCGAGATTGAGCCCGGCAATTTCTGCAATAGGCTTAACTTTATTACCGTGAAATTCACCGGCTCGGATTAACGTTTACTTCGCTAGTTAAACGATTTGGCAATTAGGATCCATTGTTATTCTAACGAGACGAAAGGCGGATATAGATGATTCCGGTGTAACGAAAACCTGTATACCGCTGGTGGAACTAATACCACGGCTACTGTCTAGTGAACCATTTTAAGCCGAAACAGTTCTGCCACGAGAACTAGATTATATACTCTATGGGTGAGAGCTGGAGAACTGCACTTAACGAGGACGTAAAACCTCTTACCGTTGACACTAACTTGAGAGCAACGACACGGTGCATAACTGGATCCGCTTTGACACGGTCTAGCGAAAGAGTCTATAGAATTTACGGAATGCACGGGATTTACGAGACTCCCAGGAATTCCTTCAAAGGCCTTCGAATTGGCTTATCGGACCTTGAAAAGAAAGAAAGAAAAAAAAAAAAAGAGACAAATCAGAGCACTTATCGTTACAAACGAAGGAATCCGGAGGACGCATACTTCGATCCAAGGTGAAGTGAAACACGTCGAGGAACTTGATCGACGTCGATAAAGAAGATTTTTCTAAATGCCCACGTTGCCGACGTTGGTTTTTATATTGACAGCTGGGTCGAATCATATTGAATATTGTACCAAATGGCATACTCCACCTGTCGTTTTCGTACAATAATTATAAAGAAATCGAAGTAAAACTCCAGAAATCCTCTGGATTCATGCTTTCTGGGGCCCTCATTAACTGCAGAGGGACCTCTGCGCCATCTGTGATTTCCAGGTCAATTAAATTTTCACTCCGAGACCTCGTATTCCCATCCTTTTGGCATAGAAGCGCATACAACACCTTTTTTGCATTTATCCCGTTCAAATGCGAGTTTATCGATTACCAGAGTGTTCTAAATTGTTATAAAATTGTCCTGACCCTTTCGTTTCTCATATCAGAGCCTTCGATAATCGTATATTGATCGAAATATGAGAGCTCGACGCCATTTTGGTTCTGGTCTGGGCTGAGTTAACAAATTTTTATAAAAAATCTAAATTTTGAATGTGTCAGGACAATTCTTAGATGATCAGGAGTGATGTGTCAAAGTTTCGGACAGTTTGGTGTAATACCCTTAAAAAAAAGTGTCGTATTAGAATCGACTGATTTAAAGGGGGTTTCACTTCACCTTAAATCGCCGATCGGAAAACGCCTTCGAGACAGCTGATCGACGACCAAATCGGTCCATCGGTCGCGGCCGAGCTCCTTTACGACGGGATCGATGCAATCCCGATAATTGCACCCGGAGTCGGTATTATGCAAATTGGTCCGCGACCGAAGGCGAACGGGGCCAAAATTCACGGCCACGGTGCCCGGAGGTGAATATTCATCGAGGCCGAACAGTTCGTTGCTTTCTCGTCTGGGGCCCTGCGGGATGGATCTCCCTTCTCCGTACATTCTTCATTTCGCATAGGTGTTCCAATTAACCGGAAGACCTGGTCGTAATCGAGTCGACACGCACGAGTGTACGTCAATCGGCCAATTTCTACTGTGTCGCGCGCAAACGCCCTCACCGAGCGAAATATCTGGGCGCGAGAGTTATGGAAATGCAAATGCACTCGGCTGCACATTTCTTTTTTTTTCTTTTTTCTCTCGCCACTGGATATTCCGGGTCAGAGATAGTATGGAAACAAAATCGCTCCCGGTTTCTCCGTCCCTCCACCCGTGAATTAATATTAACACTTTGATGATCACGGGTATCGCAAAACCGATTAATTGGCTTCCGATCGGTAAAGTGTTAAGAGACCGTAGACACCCCCGCGGAAATGCACTAACTAATCGAACGAAAAACCTCAGAAATGCATAGCGAAAAAAATGTCAAAAATGTGTACATCTCACTATTTCCTACCATAATATTAGGGGGACCGAAAGGTAATCAAAATTCGACACATACTAACCGTGAATGAGCTCATTGAAGAAATTCTGATTACTTTTCGGTCCCCCGTAATAATTATCTTGGCAACTCGCGGTCGCCCTATCGGTTAGCCTGACGGATCGACAAGGAGAGATAATTGAACGGTCGCATTCGACGCGTGCGATCGATCGAGTGGGACGCGATTCACGAGGCGAGTTCATTGATGAAAACCTCATTGCGGGCCGCTGAGGGAAAAGCTGCAGTGCAGAGGTTGCACGCAATCGTTGCGCGGTTTCCTAACAATGGCGGGCCGTATCTGATGACTATATTACAGGGGCCTCTCGGGGTACCGCGCGTACATGTAACCGCAGCGAACACACGCTGTGGGATCGGTTGTAACGAGCTTCCTACGGATCGGCATTCCGATCTTATAACGCGCCGATCGGATTACCTGCCGGCTATGCATATACGCGGTCGTCGCATACCGGGAGCGAGCGAACCAGAGGAACTCGCTCGATCGCCCTAAACGCGGCCCCGAGAGGTCGCCCTCGGCCAATTGCGATCGGGGAATCGCGACTCGCGATCGGGCGCCCCTTATCAGGGATCGATGCCTCCGATCGATACGGTTTACGAGCCGCGCGCCTCTACATTGTAATGCCACTTTTAACGAGGACGTAAACCCTCCGGACGTGGACGTTGTCGCAGGGTATCGATGGCCCCGGTGAAGCTCTCCTTCGACGCAGGATCAGGATTAATAATGGACGCCGATAAAACCAGGTGAATCGACTGGAATGAAAGTGGACCGATAATCAATGATCGAGGATATCGACGGAGTGACTTACGGGATGAATGGCACGGATTTCTCGCCTCTTGATACGTGTCCGGGTGGACATAATCGGTCAGGCGGTAACATGGGAAAATAAATGAGGAATTAGCTTACGGTTGGAGGGAACCTCATTTTCTCTTATGTTTACGTGGATTCGAGCACACGACTGTTGAGTCACACGATGCATCTCGTCCACCCGCGGTGGAGACTTTCGTTCCACCTCGTTTTCTCGGCAAGAAGACCCGGCTTCCTTTCGGTCGCTAACGGATTGACCGTTTTCACGAGTGGTGCTTCCTTCGCCGCGGAAGAAAAGCTCCGACCTGCGTCGCAAGAAACTAACGATGTTGAAGAATGGACCGTTTTTTCGACTCACCTGAGCCTTGGTGGGCTTCTCCATGATGCGGTACGATGGCGAGCCCTGCTGGCCGGAGGCTGCGATGACGGCGCCCGCCTTACGAGACACGCATTGCCCCATATAGATCTGCCAACTTCGCCAATACTTGACCTATATGTCCAACACAATGACTTTAGAAACGGGCCTGTGACATTACTCGAGAACTCGAGCCGTCCTTGTGCCTCGCTCGGAGCGAATTTTCGCCCGGTTGAAAAACGCGATGACAAGGAAATTAACTAAACCTTCATATTTTAAACCAAACCATTAATCTGGTACGTATATATTCTCTCGAGAGAGAGAATTACGTAGAGCGATTTCCAAGCACGGCTCAAGTTTCTAATTAAGAATGGAGACCAAGCAATATTTTGTAAGTCATGGAAGTGTCCAAGTGATCTACTACAACGGTTACCCGTCACCAATAATATAGTATAATCATTCTAGCAAAGCGAGAAATATGGTTAAGCAGTGTTTCAAGGTGCACGTTAATAGGTCCCTGTGAAATTACGAGGATTGTAATTAGGAATTAGAAGTATCGAGGGGTGATAATAAACCATAATGTCCCACGTGTAATGTCCCTTCATTAGCGATCGCATCTTCCTTCCAGCGTTATGCAAGGTCCCAAGGAGGAGGAGAAAAAAGGCAGAGAGGAGCCTCTGGTCCCTGGTAATAAAATATAGTCCCTCCCAGTGATCGCCAGAGTCGATGAATAACGAGTGAAAAATGTCCCGAGGTAAAGTAACCGGCATACGGTTAAGAGAAGCGACGTCGGGTGGGAGAAGTCGTTGACTCGAGAATGTCAAAAATTACGACCAAAAAACGCCCCAGGGGCCCGTGGCAAAGTAAATTTAAGAGAGCCCGTACCCTGGCCCGGACTTAAAAGTTACTGCGAAACGATAGAAAGTCTTACGACCGAGGAAAGAAAGCAATCATCGAGGAGCGCACCGTCTTTTGCATTCCGCGATAGGGATTTAATCGAAAACAATAACCGTAAGAACCTAACCGAGGCGAAGAGCGTCGAAAAAAAAATCTCGATTACGACCGATGACATAAGAACAACGCCGGGGGATGGATTCTAAGATACATTATTCGGAGCTGCGAATATTCCGCGACAAGTTGCCTCCTCCACCTTCCACCTTCTTCCCGAGAACACGTTGGGAAAGTAATACCCCGTCACGTTTACATTACGCAGCTTTTCGGGTCAGTAACCGGAGCACTCCTATCGCGGAGTCCTATTTTAACACTAGAACTACCGGTGGATGATTTTTTTTGTATAGGATGGGCCATTTGAAACCAGTCATTTTGACTGGTCTTGGTAACTCTAGGGGTAATCGCGGACTTTTTGACTGCATATCTTCTGGAAATCTCATTTTTTCGCAAAAAACTACTCGTTTTTATTTTTTGTATAGGATGGGCCATTTAAAACCAGTCATTTTGACTGGTCTTGGTAGCTCTAGGGGTAATCGCGGACTTTTTGACTGCATATCTTCTGGAAATCTCATTTTTTCGCAAAAAACTACTTGTTTTTTTTTTTTGTATGGGATGGGCCATTTGAAACCAGTCATTTTGACTGGTCTTGATAGCTCTAGGGATAAGCGCGAACTTTTTGACTGCAATTCTTCTGCAAATCTCATTATATCGCAAGAAGCTACTCGTTTTTATTTTTTGTATAGGATGGGCCATTTAAAACCAGTCATTATGACTGGTCTTGGTAGCTCTAGGGGTAATCGCGGACTTTTTGACTGCAAATCTTGTGGAAATCTCATTTTCTTGCAAGAAGTTACTCGTTTTTATTTTTTGTATAGAATGGGCCATTTAAAACCAGTCATTTTGACCGGTCTTGGTAGCTCTAGGGATAAGCGCGGATTTTCTTTACTGCAAATCTTCTGGAAATCTCATTTTCTCGCAAGAAGCTACTCGTTCGATATCTCTAGGCGTTAACGAACATTCTTCATTCGCGTCTACCATGGCATATCCGAGGTAAACACGGAGGTACCAAGTGCACGTTGCAACGGTGCACGTCTCGGGCACGAGCGTGCGAAAGGTGCATTTTCCCCGGCGATTATCCGGCCGCCTGTGCACACGCGAATGCGTAAAATCGCGTATCGCGGGATCGCGAAATCCCCGTACGAGAAGATCCCGGGAATTATAGTCCTCGAGATCGCCGGGGATATACGAGAAGAAAGGGGTCCCATGGAAGAATCTCCCGTGGAAGGCCGTGCGAAATTGCAGGTTGCCGGATAGCGAACTCGAAGAAGGACGAAACGATCTGACGGAAGTCTTTACGTTAACGGGGAATCGTTACACCCCACGTCGAATGAAGGCCAGGTAGGCAATATCGGTTCTTATCGCCACATCGAAAACAAGGTCGTTCCATTTCCTTAAATCCACGTTCTGTAGCCCTCCGTTATCAAAAATTAGCAACAACCTTAACGGAACTCCGTGCGAGAGGCTACGTAAAAGTAAAAGCCGGACGCGGAGGGACGATGGGAAAAAAAATGGAGCGCCCAAGGGGGTACATTTGAAAATCGATCGGACACGAGCAAGAGCCGAACGCTACGGCGATTCGCTCGGAGCGGTGAATGGACGAGAAACTCGCTCGAAAATTATTCCGGAAGCGAGGCAGCGATACGTGTCGTTCCTCCCGGAGAAATTGCCGAGCAAATATTTTTTGGGTATAGATGTGATGATGGTGGTGTGTGCCCTGTTTGTTGTGTTTCGTCCCGGGTCTGCCTGTGTGGACTCGTCAGTAAGGCTATCAGGCAGACCCTGCCTTAGACACCGAAAAATTTCTCCGGGGCGGGATTTGAACCCGAAAGACTACATGGTATGAGCGGTGAGCGTAATCGCTGGGCTATCGAAGGCCCGCGTCGCAGGAAGAACTTCTAATTTAACCGTTTGAGTCCCAAGCAGCGCGATCGCGCTGTTCAGATTTTATGTCGAGAAAACCCAACACATTTCGAGCGTTGTGGACAACTAGCGGTGCGCCACCGATTGTCGAAGTCGCGCGCTCAGATTTACTGACCCAAGTACATCTTCTTTTAATGTAAATAATACATCTTACAATTCAAGAAACGCTATCGCGCCGATTAGGATTCATCGACATAAAATAAACAAAGCGCTATCACGCCGCTTGAAATTTATCGTCATAAAATAAAAGAAGCGCTATCGCGCTGCTTGGGTCTTCTCGTACTCATTTAGAGAAAGCGCGATTGCGCTGTTCGGGATTCTTTGACAGGGTTTTTTCAATACCCCCTGGGACTCAAACGGATATATATATATATATGCTATGACCGCCACAATTTGAGAAAAAGTTCGAGGAAGCGCTCCATGTTCTGAGATAAGGTCGCCGAGAAATTGAAAACCTGAATAATAACCGAAGTGCGGGTGAAAAAGATTCAGAAGAAAAAAAAAAAAAGTAGACATACCCCCGTTTAGAGGCCTAGTCGAGATCGAGGCGAAATTCGGAATGGCGTATCCAACGGAGGTGCCCATCGATCCGACGCCTCGCGGACCCAAATTTAAACTTGGCGGAGAGCCTTGATCCGAACTATCCTAAATTCCCAGCTGACCCAAATCCTGGCCTTTGAAATGCGTGTTGCCTTCAAAGGCCATTAGGGACTATTCGGAGCGACCGGGGGAAATTTCGATTCACCCCTCCGTCAGGATAATCGAGGAAATTCAGGACTTACGGATATCCAAGAGCAGGAAATCCGCGATTCGCCTCTCTCCGAGTCCAGATCACGCGTATAATGGTTTCCCTCCATCGTGAGGCCCTCGTCGCCTTCCCTACCTGTCTGGACGGTTGTCGAAGACCGCGAGATCGATTGCTAATAATATGGAAGTTATCAGCCAAGGGCACGTCCGTTATCGGGCCGATCGACCGAGGATTTACGTCCGTCTACAGTGCCGTCCCCTCTTGGAACCGTCGACCCGGCCCCGGCTACGTGAACGAGTCTCGGGAGAGAATTGCGAGAGGGACTCTCGAGGAGAGCCGCGACGCTCATTCTCCGCCGTGGATCTTCAAGGTCAGGGTCAGCCCGGAGCCGGCTAAATCGCCGAAGTGCAACGGTTTTGCCAAACGATGCGCGTGGTCTCGTTGGCCGTGGCTAAACTCCGATTGGTCGTGCAGGTTCTTACGCTCTTCGTTACACAACAAAGGTGTCGTTGTCCTGGCGGAAATTTTGTCCCGACGCGAGCCCGCCGACGATCCCGCGACGACTGCTTTCGAATACTCGCTAAGTCCTAAAGCCCAGGTCCGCGATCAAAGAAATTCGTCGAATCATTTGTTTCCTCTTAGACGCCTTAAGGTGAAGTGAAACACGTCGAGGAACTTGATCGACGTCGATAAAGATTTTTCTAAAGGCCTACGCTACTGACATTGGTTTTTACATTGACAGCTGTATCGAATTATATTGGATATTGTACCAAATGGCATACTCTACTTGTCGTTTACGTACAATAAATATCAAGAAATCGAAGTAAAACTCGAGAAATCCTCTGGATTCGTGCTTTCTGGGGCCCTAATTGACTGCAGAGGGACCCCCTGCGCCATCTGTGATTTCCAGGTCAATTAAATTTTCAGTCCGAGACCTCGTATTCCCATCGTTTTGGCATAGAAACGCATACAACACTTTTTTTGCGTTTATCCCGTTCAAATGCGAGTTTATCGATTACTAGGGTGTTCTAAATTGTCGAAAAATTGTCCTGAACGTTTCGTTTCTCATATCAAAGCCTGCGATAATTGTATATTGATCGAAATATGAGAGCTCAACGCCATTTTTGTTCTGGTCTGAGCTGAGTTAAACAATTTTTTCCAAAAATCCAAATTTTGAATGTGTCAGGATAATTCTTATATGATCATTTTGTCAAAGTTTCGGGCAGTTTGGTCTAATACCCTTAAAAAAAAATGTTGTATTCGAATCGACTGATTTGAAGGGGGTTTCACTTCACCTTAAGACGGTGCCGCTATTTATTGCGAAGTACTCCCACATCGTGTAACCAAGACCTATGCTTGTTAAATGATACATTCAATTATTATAATGATACCACTTGTCCTCGTTAACTAGCCGTTATCGCGAAAATAAAGAACAGGGGTCGAGGTAAAGAAAATGGATAAATTCCTCAAATACCTCGTAGAAACATAATTTCGTCTCGCGTGTATATAAATATTTCTTAATTGGCCAGTTTTTAACTCTGTAGTTAAATGTTTTACGTTCCATTCGCGACGATTCTTCCGCTTCGTGTAAACTCTTGGAAGTCTACAGCATTGAACCGAAAACATATGACCGATTGTAGTTTTCTATCAAAGTTTCGCCCCCGAGTTATTCGTACAAGGCGACAGAGTCGGCGACCAGACTTCCAGGAAGATATTTGTAATAGAGCCCCGACGAAGTTCCTTGATCGTGAGGACGTATCTTTACTCGAGACACGTGCTTCTCTCGAACCAGGTGTTTTCATTGAGCCGCGGTGCTCGGCAAAAGACTGGATAAATTCCTCCGAAGCGGTTGATCTTGAACGTTCCTACTTCAGGAAACGGTCTCACGCAGTCTACAGGGAAGGGCATCTACAGGGTCCGACAATACCTACGGTACCGTAAAATCGATAAACATTAATGTACGTATACAATTGGGCGCGTCGAATCGAGCGAGTCTCCAGTGTTAATAAATATCTCGGCGACGGTTACGTAACCGCGTTGTTTAGTGTATAATAATATGCAATTACCCCGCTGGCTCGGCCGGGGTTTCGCGATAATGGGTACTGGACATCGCCGGGGCCTCTACGCGTATTTACTCGTTAACGGTGACCAACTAACCACCCACCGGTACACCAGGAAGGGATTCGAAATCCCGCCGGTAGGATAAGAGTCGGGGATGTTAATTCGAAAGTGGAGAGAAGAGTTATGGATTCCCACGCGGCCTCCGCGCATGCACCTTGACTCCTAGGCACCTCGCCCGACCCCGTTACTCCCGCGACAATGTCGCCCATCTTCCGACTTCTCCTCTTCGTTCTACTCACAAAGATAAAATTCCTCGCCGTTCTATCACCGGCCTTTCGGACCTTTCTCTCAAACGCGCTGAAAAAGAATAAACATCGGCTCTGTAGAGAATGCAACGCGTCCCTGGCCATTCGAGCCGGCCCTCGTCCTCGGATCCTCGAAGGCCTCGCCGGACGGAGAGCCTGCTCCGAGGATGCAGTAAAAAAAGAAATATATAATAAACTGCACTCCACAACTCGGTGTGCACCATAAAACGCGAACGCGTTACGCGGATTTTTCCTCTGGCCCTCCGCGGGGATTTTCGCCATCCTCGGTGGAATGTCGCACCATCTGGGATGGCGATTCCGCACGGCGGAGAACCAGAGCAAGGATGCGCCGTGGGACTCGGAGCGCATTTAAAATCATTCCTAAAGGACGTCGCTGCGAAAAGATGGACTTGCCATCGATTACCTGTTTCTTATACTCGTTTACTCCGGATAGATTCGTGGGACTCGTTGGGGTTGGTAATGTGGAGTATTTTAAAGGAGAGCTTCGTCTATTTCGTGTGTCTTGGAAGGATCTCAGGTGTAATCGATTATCAGTCGCGCGGTCTGGAAGGGTCCATGCTCTTCCCGCAGCGACATCTTCCAGGATGGGTGATGAATGGGAGTTTAAATATGGACTTTCATACCTTGTCTTACGCAGCTAAATTTCTCGGGCAGGCCGAACGGAACCGCGGTACACATCCTAGAATCTGGCAGGGACACCCTACAGTCAACGGCGCGCGTATCGTGGGCACATGTCACGTCGGAATTCACCTCCGATCGAATGTTGCTTCTCGCCCGTCGCCTCGGATTCGCGGGAATGTCCGAAACGAGCGGCGCTTAGGGTACCGCACCTGCGACGGCGACTCGGTATGCCGCACCACCTGTCATTCGAATCTATTCGATAGTACGCAGCATGCGTGGTGACGTCAGAAGCGAGCCACGGGACAACCGCCGAGCACTGCGACTGGATTCGCCGTTCGCCGTTCGCTGTCCCTCGTCAACGAATGACCCTTCTCCTCCCGAGTTGGAATCGAGCGCTGCGAGCCTCTCCTACGGGCCGAATGCGCCGCAGCGCCATCTTGAACTTGGCGGATGACTGGGAAAGCTTTTTCCGCGCGAACTTCAACTTGGTCGGTAATAAAGGACGCACAGGCATCGTTTGTGATCATTTCGGGCACTCGAGTTGCATTCTCGACCAGAGATGAGTTGGGAGATTGCTTACGAGAAGGGTCGCGCGATCGACTGTGTGCTGCCCTCTGATTTCGTACGTTAGCTTTCACCGTTTTTTGCCCCCAAGGGCGGCGCAACGAATTTCTGGTAGG